TGAAACCACGCTTATGTCACGAATTATCGGAATTGAAATATATAAATCAAACTGTCTGTGGGACAGCATCGCCAAAACAGAAGTGACAGGCACCGTTGCTGGTTAATCGTCTTGACTATGTTTTTACCTAACCACGATATCTTCTATCTATACATATCAATGTACGATTTCACTGCGTTGTTATAAAGGTGAGGAACACATTTACTTTGTGCTCTGACAAGTTCAAATACCTACTAGACAGGGCGTCAAATAATTACGATTGTAATTTTCTATGCATATCTTAATGTTGTACTACACGGTAGTATGTTTAGAAAAGCTACATATAGCGGCTACATTTAACTACTGAATTTGCTTTGTATGTTTAATGTGGTATATGTACATTTTCAATACACACCCTGGCTTTTGTATTTCACACACACACACAAAAAAACATTATTTGTATGACAATCCACGTCTTAATTGGCACATACCAAATGAACCCAGGCATTGTACATATTTAACTGAATTCACCGACAGTATATCGACAAAGAACAGCCATTATTAGAAATAGATTGAGACTAAGTCTATGTTTACACAATGCCGTTTAGTTTAGTTGAAGTACTCGTGGACTTTGTCCAAATATAATCTGTTTTATGTCACACCAGGTGATGATTTATTTCATTCACCGTATTACTGTACATAACTAATTGAGGGCATATGAACATATTTTGTGAAATACAAGTACTTTATTTTTGTGGAGATTTATGTTTGCGTATAAAGAATAAATGGCCAGATAGCGCGATTTTATTAACGTGAAAAACAGTGTCAAAAACTCTTAAAAACCTCCCAATGTTCTTTGTATACAAATACACGGTGCAATTATATGATGGCACATGATTTAAGTGCATGCTCATTAAATATCAGCCATATATGTCACACTCTTCTTGAGATATGTGGATTTCAAAATTTGACCTTTTTCCAGAGAAGGTCAAGCCCGATTTAAATAAAAATTAAAGTTGCAAGCAGCATTGGCAGGGTCCAAGCAGAATTGTCAGAAAAGTTATCTGCAGATACTCATTGAAATGGAGTTTTGATACCAATATCTCTGCATAATGAAGTGTAAACATGTTAAATATTTCTTTATATTTAACATCAGCATAACCATGTGACTGATAACAATTTGGGGTAAAATTCGGGTGTATTGCTTATGCATATTTATGAGGTTACATGGTCATATATGGCAATTTCTTAAAGGGAACCTCAATCCAAACAACATAATGAACTCCCAAGAAAAAGCTCCATAAATGTAGGAGAATGCAATTTACAGTTTTGGTGTATCACTTTTCATTCTCTAGATATTCTACTTTTCATCAGTATTACGTAGTCAGCCATCTTGATTTCAAGCAAAGGATTATGGGTAAAGTATGACATCATAGAATCTG